AGGGAACTTCTCAGCAGAGGTGGAGCTGCTCAGGGCAGACTGCAGGTAAACTGTCTTGTGGAAGAGTCTGTTGCTTAAGAAGACTGCCAAGGAGAAGAGGCGCAACTGGAAAAGGTATGCTTTTCCAGGTGTCTTTGCTTCATTGGTGCTGATAATGAATAAAGGAACGAGAATAGAGAAGAGGCAGCCACTGATAATGTATGAGGACTGCATTGCTGTGAGGAAAGCCAAGGGCAAACCAAACCCAAAGTAGTAAGGCCAGTTCCTTTCTATGTTTGACAATCGCTGGTGCATTTCAATTCCTTTATTGAACCAACGATATTCAAAGCAGTACAGTGAGTAGAGAAGGGACATATGCAGCAGACTAACCAGCTGACCAACAAGATGAATGGGAAAGAGACTCACAAACATCCCCTGGATAAGGAAAAAAGCCTGTAGCAAAAGACTGAAGAGCATGTCAGCAATTGTTTTGCTGACACTGGGGAATGGATGAGGCTTCCTCCCTGACACCTCAAATGCCAGGTCGGCTGTATCTTGAAACCAAATGGCATTCACAACTTTGCTAAGCACAAACGGGGAGCACCCAAAGAGCACTGAAAATTGATGTGAGGAAGAATTCCAGCCACGACCAAACATCTCCATGCAGTGATGGATCACCAATAATTCGGGCTGTTACTGACTGAAGCACAGGAATAAACACTCGATAAAACAAGAGAAGACTGAACCAGAATTCTCCGCCATTCCAAGCACAGCACTGGAAGATTCTACTAACAATACGAGGCTCACTCTCCTGCTTCCGCTCTATACTCTGGGCTCTCCGCTGTGCCAGGACACTACTTGCCCTTCTTCAACGCTGTTCCTCTCTCTTTTGCTGGATTCGAGCATCTAGCTTTGAGATGGTACAAATACCCCAGATGGAGTCTTTGATTCCCCTGCCAAGGTCCTGGAGAAAGGTTTTGACACTGTCAGCCATCTCTTTACCACCCAGACTATCAGCTACACAGAGGAGAGAGAAATGCCCCAAAATGTCTCATCATGAAGGACCCCGCAGCCCTGCCGCTGCGGCTCCGGCCTGGGCGCTCGCCCACCCCAGGCCCAGCCGCTCGGCTCCTCCGCGCCCGGCCACCGCTCCGCCGGGCGCTCCCAGGGCCCGGGACGCTGCGCCCGCACTGGGCATGCCCGGGCCGCACGGGGCCGCTACTTTATTCCCTTTTATAACTCAATATTCTACTGTGTACAAATTCCATAATTCATCTGTTGATAGATATTTGGGGTGTTTCTACCTTTTGGCTATTATGAATAGCTCTGGTATAGAGTACCTGTTTTCATTTCTTTTAGATATACACCTTTTGAAATCACTGAGTCATATGATAATTCAGTGTTTTAACTTTTATTTTTATTTTTTTGGCAGCATGGGGGTTTGAACTCAGGGACTCACCCTTGCTAAACTGGTGCTCTACCACTTTAGCCACTCCACCAGTCCTGTATTTTAACTTTTTGAGGAACCACCAGATTGGTCTTTTGTTTTTTAATAGCCATCTTACTGGGCATGACAGTATGAATCATTATGAACTTGATATGCATTTCCCTGGTGATTAATGATGTTATGCTCTTTTTCATATGCTTTTTTGTCATTTTTGTATCTTTTGAGAAATGTTTATTCAAGTCCTTCATCCATTTTTTATTGAATTTGTCTTTTTGTTGATTTGTAAGAGTTCCATTTCGCTGGGCACCAGTGACTCATACCTGTAATCCTAGCTATTTGGGAGGCAAAGATGAGGAGGATTGCGGTTCAAAGCCAGCCTAGGCAAATAGCTCAGGAGACACTATCTTGTAAATATCCAGCACAAAAGAGGACAGTGGCTTAAGTGGTAGAGCACCTGTCTAGAAAGCCTGAGGCCCCAAGTTTAAACCCCAGTACCATAAATAAATAGTCAAAGGAGTTCACTTTAAAAAAAAAAAACAAACAAACTCCATTTTATATCATGGAAACTAGTTACCAGATAACATGATTTGCAAATATTTTCACCTATCCTTGGGTTGTCTTTTCACTCTTTGATAATGTCTTAGAATGTACAAAGTTTAATTTTGATGAAAGCTATTTTGTCTATTTGCTGCTCTTGTTTGTTTTGGTCTTTTTGCAGCACTGTGGATCGAACCCAAAAGCCTCATGAATGCTAGGCAAGCATTCTACCACTCAGCCAGACTTCCAACCCACCTTTATGGTTTTAGCGTCCTCTCTAAGACTTCATTACCAAAATCAAGGTCATGCAGATTTAACCCTAAGTTTTCTTCTCTTTCATAGGTTTAGCTCTTATTTAGGTTGTTTTTGAGTTAACTTTTGTATATGGTGTGAGGTAGAATCTGATTTTGTTCTTTTGCGTATTGATATTTAATTGTCCCCACATCATTTGTTAGATTGTTTTTTCTCTGTCGAAGTCTTGACACCATTGTCAAAAATCATTTAATCATAGTTTAGACTTATATGTGGACTCTGAATTCTATTTGTTGATCCACATAGCTGTCCTTATTGCCAGTATCACGCTGTTCTGAATACTGTAGCTTTTTAGTAAGTCTTGAAAATTGGCAATAAAAGTTCTCCAACTTTGTTCTTTTTCAGTATTATTTTGGCCGTTGAGAGCCTTGCAATTCCAGATTTTCATTTTGCAGGTAGAGGGGGAAAGCTGTTTGAGTTTTGGTAGCTTCAGTTTTGTACTGATTCTGAAGATTGCTTTGGGTAGTGTTGCTGTCTTAACTATATTAAATCTTCTAATCCATGAACACAGAGTGTTTTTCCATTTATTTATGTATTAAATTTCTTTTAGCAATGTTCATAGTTTTGAGTGTTTAAGTAGTTCACTTTTTTGGGGGGGGGCGGGTACTGCTCATACTTGTTAGGCTACTTTGAACTACTTTGCCACTTGAACCACTTCACCAGCCATCTTTGCTTTGGTTATTTTTGAGGTGTGTGTGGGCGTCTCACCTTATGCTTGGGCTGGCCTGGACCATGATCCTGTTTGTGCTTTCCCACATAACAGGCATGTGTCTGCCACTGCTCCCAGCCTCTGGTCGAGATGGGGTCTCACGCACTTTGTTTGGCTGGGCTAGGTTCAAACTTCAGTCCTCCTGATCTCCACTCCCCACGTAGCTAGATTTACATGATTGAGCCCTACCCCCAGCCAGTCTTAACATTTTTGGCTAAACTTAATCCTTCATATTTTATTCCTTGGGATATTGTTGCACTTGAAATTGTTTTCATATTTTTCTTTTCAGGTTGTTAATTTCTACTGTATATATAATATACAATCAGTTTTTATATGTTGATCTAAAACTTTTTGGCAGCTTTGCCAAATTCTTTTACTAGTGTGTACATAGCATATGTGTATATTCTCTCTGATATTTATGTATAGGATTATGTTATCTGTGAATAAAGGTAGTTTTATTTCTTCCTTTCCAACTTGGATGCCTTTATTTCTTATCTAATTGTTCTGTGTAGAACTTCCAGTACAATGTTGAATAACAGTGGTTATCTGATCTGAAGTGTAAAAGTTTTCAATCAATAAGTGTAATGTTAGCTATAGATTTTCCATAAATGTTCATTATCTTCTTCAGGAGGTTCTCTCCTGTTCCTAATCTGTGAGTATTTGTATCATGGAGAGGTGTTGGATTGTTGGTTTTTGCGGGGGAGGGTATTTCCCACTTTGTTCTCTTAATGGTGGTGTATTATGCTAATTGATACTGTGTTGAACCATTCCCATTATTTTATGAACAAATCCTATTTGATCATGGTATAGAATCCTTTCTCTGTGAAGTTAGATTTGGTTTGTTAAAATTTTGTTAAGGATTTTTGCATCTGTTTAGGAGATATTGGTTTGTAGTTTTCTTGGAGTGCCTTGTTTTTTTGGTGGTTCTGGGGTTCGAACTCAGGGCAGAATTTAGGGACTCTCCTTCTGTGCCTACTTTTTGGAATTCCTTTATTTTCCAGATCTCCACTGTCCAAAAGATGAAACTGCTGTATACTGTTTCATACATCTTGTGCTGTTCAAAATGGTTGCACATGCCACATGTGGCTTTTTGAGCACTTGAAATGTAGCTACAACTGAGACAGGAACTTAGAAATAGTCACATTTGGCTAGTGGATATTTTGTTGGACGGACCATCACTGCAGTAGCTCTTCTAATGGTACTCAATGCTGTGGAGCCATTCCAAACTTTGTCCTAATTTCTGTATGGGTTTTAGCTGACTGGCAGTCAGACTGGGGCCTTCTTTCAGGTGAAAAGCTATAGAAAGTAGGAAGCTCAAGTATTACTTTCCGGTCATCCTTGCATGAACTCACCTTCAGTTTTTTTGGTGGATTTTGATTACTTTCCAGCACCATACAATCATTGTTTTATTTTATTTTATTTTTATTTTTATTTATTTATTATGTTGTCCTGGCATTTGAGCTCAGGGCCTCATACTTGCTAGGTAGGTGCTCTTACCACTTGAGCCTTGCCCCCAGCCCTGTTTTGGTTTTTTTTACTAGAGTTTAGAACTGCATCTTGTGACCAGTAATTGTAGCTAATCTTGTCATTTACCAGAGGTAGAACTGTACCTCTTATTCATTTCAATAACAAACTAATGTTAAGAATTCATTTTTGTACTGTTACTAGTTTTCTTACAGCTATTTAAATATTTTTCCAAAATGTTCAGATACTGCTAATGGCAATACAGTCAATTTGATCTCCCATGCTTTTAAGAAAAAGCTGGTTACCTAATACTGTGACTGTTGAGATGAAAAGTACTTGGAAGACTCGTTTGTCTTTCTAACGGAATTTTCATTGTAAACTATCCTAGCCTCTTTAACCTTAACTAAAAAGTATCAGTAGCCTTTAAGGTTACTGAATCTTAATATTCTTAATTTGATATCCCCATTTCTGGTATGCTAGAATTTAATGGAATTCTTCAAAGCAACAAACTCATATCATTGATAACCTGTGTGGTATACTTTGCCTTTGTAGGTATCTGAAAAGGTTTAAAGTGATGAAGATCAAAGTTTTAAGAAGCTGGTGTCGGCAGATTCTTAAAGGACTTCAGTTTCTTCATACTCGAACTCCACCTATTATTCACCGGGATCTTAAATGTGACAACATCTTTATCACTGGCCCTACCGGCTCAGTCAAGATTGGAGACCTTGGTCTGGCAACCCTGAAACGGGCTTCTTTTGCCAAGAGCGTGATAGGTATGTTTCCAATGTACTTTGCAGCCTGGCTGGCTTTCTGACACTACTTTTATTTAGAAACCTGACCCACTCAGAGCTTTTCTGGCATGCAGTAAACCTTCAGAAATTCATAGCTTGAACCTAGTTCTACTTAGGAGATGTGGGGTTCTCTCTATTTATGCTTCTGGAATTATCTTGAAGACTGTTCATGCAGTAGGCTTACTGAGCCACTCTGTTAATATTATATACTATTAGTACAGTAGATACAGTGTGTCACTTTCTTCACTAAAAAATGAAATTTATATGTTCTCCAGTTTCACAAATATTCATTGGATATATCTTCACAGATATCTACCTGTTTAAAATTTTATTTGAAAATATGAATATGGGCAGTCTGTTCTGAAAAGTTGGTTTTATCAACTTTTTTTCTTACTCCTATCCTTCAGAAGTTATGATATATCTAAAACTGGTTCCTTTGTCTTATTATTCTGGACATTTTGGGCTGAACAATTTGTTGTAAAGGGGTGTCTTATTTATTATAAGATTATTTAGCAACATCCATGGCTTCCACACACTAAATGCCAGTAGCACAACATCTATCCACCAACGCTAATTATTCTAGCCAAAAATATGTCCAGACATTGCTCTGTGGAAGGCAGAATTAACCCCCTATTAAAATAATGATCTAAAGAATAAAGCTGTCTTTTTAGACTTTTAAATTATGTCACAGCTGGAAAAAAAAAGTCTGTTTTGATGAGCTTTCATTCTCAAAAGAGATTATCGCAATTTAAAAACTTGAAATCTCAGGCATTCTACTCTTCTCACCCTAAAAGGGTACTATAACAACAATAACAAAAGAAATCCATTAATTATTATTTTATTTTAATTCTAATTTTTAAATAAATTTTTATTAGGATATATTCATTATACAAGGTAGATTCATAATGACAATTCCAATTAGACTTACGTTGTATATTAGTTACATTGCCTCCATTGTCTCTCCCCCTCAACCCCCTCTCTTGTAAAGCAATCACAAGAGATTTCTTAGTTCTGTTTCATATAGGTATATGAAATCTGTCTACCATACCATCACCTTAATCTCTTAACTCACCCTCCTCCCTCTCACTAGCACCCCCCACATACATACACTGAAACTAATTATTAAACAAGCTAGAATCCTTAGTATTAATAAGTAAAGCATGAGGCATTGGTAATTTGCACATTTACAAAACAGTGTTCTCCTTGGAATATTAATGTAAGTAGGATTGGAATGCCATATTTACATTTTCTTACAGTAGACTAACAAAATTAAGGAGAAAAAAGATACTTAAAGCTAAATTTCCTTTCTGCCTTCTTCACAGAAAACATATCTTTGATTTGCCTGTGGTATTTTAAAGTCTCTGACCCAAGAGAGTTTTTATATTTTTGTTTATTAAATAATACTGGGAAAACCTGTTCTTGGAATTGCCTTTTATCTTGTATAAAGATTTAGCTATTTGGAAACACCACAAAATCTAGTCTTATGGGATCATCCACTCTTATGCTCATAAATCAGGCTATATTTGAGCTCTGTATTTGTTTTTTGCCTGTGGGATGCCCTTCACTAAGTTTCTTACATCTGCAATAGGCATATTTATATACTGTAGGTGTGCAGGTAAGTATGTGAGGAAAGGGGCTCTTGTGTGACCTTTACAAACAACACATTGTTTTATTATCTTTAAAAACATTGAACATAGGGTTTAAGACTACCAGGCCTCCTTAAAAAGTGAAACTGATCTCAGATGGAATGTTAATGGCCAAGAGATTAATTGTGTATGTATCTTACAACTGCCATACAGTAGGGGGCAGACAAGCACTTCACTTTTTTAATCCATCTTTTTGTTGTTTTGTTTTTTTGCGGTACTGGGGCTTGAACCCAGGGCCTTCACCTTGAGCCATTCTGCCAGCCCTTTTTTGTGATGGGTATTTTCAAGATAAGGTCTTACAAAATATTTGCTTGGGCTGGCTTTGAACCTCGATCTTCCTGATCTCTGTATCCTGAGTAGGTAGGATTATAGGCATGAGACACCAGCACTCAGCTTTTTTTTGGTTTTTTTTGGTTTTGGTTTGGGTTTGGGTTTTTTGAGACAGGGTCTCACTATGTAACCTAGGCTGGCTTGGAACCCACTGTGTAGTCCAGGCTGACCTCAAACTCATGCTCCTCCTGCCTCAGCCTCCCAAGTGCTAGGATTGCAGGTGTGCTCCACCACACCCAGCTAATTCATCACTTTATAGATAGATGCCAGTGTAATTCATCTATTAGTCAAGACTCTGCTTTGATATATATATACATATATATATATATATATATATATATATATATAAAATCAGAATCCGTATTAAACAGTGTATGTAAGTAATCAGACACTTTGTTCAGTTTCTTATAAAGGCATTATAGTGGAAGATCTGTGAGATAGTTAATGGAACAGGCTAAGACATTTCCTTTCTTTTTCCCCCTTTCTCTTTTTTTCCTTACAGTTTCTTTTTCAAAGGTTTCCCTTTTTAAAGGTTTCTTCCCTTTGTTCTCCTGCTAGTGGGTAACATCTACAGCTTCTGCTCACATTGACTCTAAATCATTCTTTTAATTTAAGGTACCCCGGAGTTCATGGCCCCTGAAATGTACGAGGAGAAATACGATGAATCTGTTGATGTATATGCTTTTGGAATGTGCATGCTTGAGATGGCTACATCTGAATATCCGTACTCAGAGTGCCAAAATGCTGCACAGATCTACCGTCGAGTGACCAGTGTAAGTCAGTTTTCCCTAACTGTTGGTGAGGTTGGGTCATATCTAGTGAGTCCCAAGCTGGATAGCATCTAACCATGCAAAAGAAGACAGTAGTAGAAAGTATACTGAATAAGGGGGGGCTTGTTGAGTGCAAATTTCATGATACAGTAAGAGCAACGATTAAAAAAATACAGATTTATTCAAACCCTTCTTACATTCATTTAAATGGTTATTATGAGATATATATTTAAAACCACATCCTCTTCAGTTATTTTTCAACCCCAAGATAATTCATCTAGTAATTCATCTCATTCTCTCTTACCATATTGCTTAATTTCTGAATAAAAATAACCCTTTTAGGCCAGGTGCAATGGCTCAAGCCTGTTAGCCCAGCTATTCAGAGGAGGCACAAATAGGAAGATCACAGTCTAGGCTGGTCTAGGCTGGTCTTGGCGAGGCCCTAACTCAAAAATAACCAACACAAATAGAACTGAGGGTGTGGCTCAAGTGGTAGAGCACCTGCCTAGTGAGCAGGAGACCTGAGTTCAACCCCCTGTACCAGAGAGGTGGGGTGGAGGGAGAGGGTGAGTAATCCTTTTTATTCAAGGTGCTTTGTCAAAATAATTTGTTCTCAGAGTTTTCACTGAAAGACTTGATTTGGTATATTAATTTATTTAAATCATATCTGAGCACCAACAGTGTTTAAGGTATAAATTGTTTTACTATTTCAGTTACTCATGGTAGTTCATGGTTGCTAAGAGATTATTTTTTAGATCTAGCTGTTCTGTTGAAACCTGAAATGTAATTATTGATCAATCATTTCATTTTACCACTATGTACTTCATTATGCTTCTCTAAAAAAAAAAAATACAGAACTTTTCTTACATAATCATATCATACCAGAAAAAAATTAATAGCCGTTCCTAGATCATCTGATACCCTGAACCTATTCATATATTTCCTCTATTGTTTCAGAAATGTTTATTTGCAGATATCGTAACATCTTTAAAATAAGCTCCATTAAGATCAGAGATTTTGGTTGTTATATCTCTTAATCTCTTGCTTCCACTTTGTTTTTCTTTTCTTTTTTTTTGTTCGGAGGGTGCAGTACTGGAGTTTGAACTCAGAACCTTGTGCTTGGTAGGCAGGCGCTCAACCACTTGAGCCACACCTCCAGCCATTTTTAGGATAAGATACGACATTTTTGCCTGGGGCCAGCCTCAGACTTCCATTCTCCTACCTATGGTCTCCTGCACAAAGAGCTGGCAGCATGGCTCAAATGGCAGAGCATCTGCTTAGAGACTCTAAGGCCCTAACTTCAAACCCCAGTATCACCAATAAATAAATACATACATACCTTAACAGAATTTAGGCTAAATTTTTTTTTTGGGAGGCAAGGAACATGTAGTACTATTTATCTTATATTACGTCAAGAGGTACATAGTATATTAACTCATTTTTAGTGAAGCAGTTTCATTGAATTTTGTCATATTAGAACATGTGATTATTTAGATTTTGGATAACTGCTCAGAATGGAAATTTGTTATTTAAAAAAAAAAACTGATGGGAAGGCTTGGGGTGTGGCTCAGGTAGTACAGTGCCTGCCTAACAAGCACAAGGCCCTGAGTTCAAACATCACTACTGTCACACCCCCACCCAAAAGAAAAAGCCAGAAAAACTGATGAGGATGCCAGATCTGTTGGCACATTTCTATACTCCTAGCTACTCAGGAGGATTATGGTTCAAGATCATTCCAGGCAAAAAATTTGTAAGACACCATCTCAGCCAATAAAAGCTGGGTGTCATGGTGTGCACCTATTATCCCAGCTACTTAGGAAGTATAAATAGAAGAATCACAGTCCAGGCTGGTCTGGGAATAAACATGAGACCCTATTTGAAAAATAACTTAGGCAAAAAGGGTTAAAGGCATGGCTCAAGTGATAGAATGCTGCCTTCCTAGCAAGCCTGAGGCCCTGAATTCAAACCCCAGTACCTAACTCCCTTCCCTGCCCCAAGAAAAAGATGTGAAACTTAATTCAAATATAGAAGATGAATGTGTGAGCAGTTTTTGTAATTACAATATAGTATTTTAATGGAGACAACCTCCAGAAGCAGTGGAGATACAATGGTTAACTCTACTATGGATTACAGAAGGTTTTACAAAAAGACGTATATGAACTGTCAAAAATGGAGGTAGGGAGTAAGAGTGCAAAGCTATTCTAAAAAGCGGTAATACGTACCTGAACAATGAAGTGTCAAACAGTATGGTGAAACTGAAGCAAAGGTGGATTGATCAAATAGGATAAAGCTATTATCATGTGGTTGGCAGGGAGAGGCAAGAATCAAACACATAAGTGGTTTCTCCTGCTCTCAAATCCTGTTTCTCATCTCAGAGGAAAAGAGTGAGTGGTCAGTAATTAAGAAGTGAGCTTTTGATTCCTCATACATAGGTTTTTGTGGGGGGTTTTCCTGCTATTTTTTATTTTGTTTAAAAGGTGACTTCATTTGTTTATAGTCTTTTGAAAGGAACAAGAAGGGAAAAGTTGAAATTACAGTATGGGAACATGAGATAGATAATTGATAGAGAAATATCCAGGATTTAGAGGTATCTGGAGTATGATGTAATGGCATGAAGAGGGCAGATTATTTTTTCCTGAGATGAGGTCAGGTATTACAGGTTCAGAGAACAAAATCTTAGGTTCACATCCCTGCTCTAGCTATTACTGTATTATCTTGAACAAGGCACCTAATTTCTCTGTATTTTATTTTATTCTGTGTAAAAGATATGCCCTTATTCCCTTACAGATGGTTTACCTGGCACTGGTACTGGTTATAAGTCCTTGTTATTTTCTATGAAATACGAGTTAAGTAATCTTCAGGGTGTAGACTGAAAGGTGGTTTTAAATGGTTATAAAGGCTTGAAATAACATCTATGGAATTTTGAACTTCTTAGGAAATAATAATCATTGGGAAGCAGTACCAAGCATCCACAATTCCTCTTTAGCACTCATAAACATTATTACATAAATAATGAATGTATTGTACTTCCCTCTGTGTATATAAGTAGAAAAGAACAAATTCTCATAACTTAATTTCTTGGAAAACTATAATAGCTTAGATTGCTTTATTTGTCCTCAAGTTTTCTATATTCTCAATAGTGCTACTATGGTTTAATAAATAGAGAAATTAGAACTCACATGGGCTTACATTTACCATGTATGAGGAAAGGTGATAACTATTAAACTGTTAAGGTTCATGTCTAGAACAAATGGGGAAAAAAAGTGAGAATCTGAATGAGGTTCATTATTGTGACAGTGAATTAGTCATTTTTCTTGCTTGAATGGAATGACTAGGTGTCAATGTAATCTGATTTTTTAAATTAAATCAGAACCTATTAAAGCTCAGAGATTCAGTAGTAAAGATAGAATGCCAACAATCGCTATGTACTAAAGTCAGATTTATAGATCAACATGTGTGCATGACCTTACTAAACATTAAGAGAGATGTTTCCATTGCACAACTTTGGACAAATCACTCTTGAGTCTTACTTCCACATATGACCATGCTCATCACAATTGCCAGACTTAACTAAGGTGTTGTAAAGAGCAAATGCATTGAAATTTTCTGAGAAAATGCATTTGAAAAAATTTTAAACATATTTATTGTGTTTGACATGTTAGCTGGAACATCTCTGGAATATCTTTTATCTCAGTAGATTGTTTTGGGGGGAGCAGTACTGGGGTTTAAACATTATTCTTTCACTTAAGCAACAACCCCAGCCATTTTTGCTTTAGTTTGTTTTTCATATAGGGTCTCACAATTTTGCCTCAGCTGGCTTGGAACCATGATCCTCCAACCTCCACTTCCCAGGTAGCTGGGATTACAGACATGAGCCACCATGCCTGGCAAGCACTCAGTAATATTTTGTTCCTTTTCTTTTTCTTTCTTTTTTTATAATTACCTTTTCATACCTTTTTTTCCCCTCAGTAATGTTTTAAAGAATAAATTACTGAATTAAAAGAATCTCAAATGTAGTCAGACATTATGTAAATTTGGAAGAATTATATTCACAAAGGAGAAATGAAATTCAAAGAGACCTTTGAAATTGTAATAGTTACCATACTAGAATGAATTAAATAGCAGTAAATAGAAACCCATGAGCAAATAAAAGCAATACATTGTATACAATGGGAAAGGCTGTTTGGTACAGATAAAGTAAAAAGCTAACTTAAATTGATATTTATAATTCCAGGACAAGAAAAGCACTTTTAAAGAAAGATAGCTATTCACATGCTTTTGTGTAGTTTGTCAAATATCATAATTTTCACTTCTTTTTTTGTTTTGAGGTGCTGGAGATTGAACCCAGGGCCTTGTGCATGGTAGGCAAGCACTCTACCACTGTGCTACACCCTCAGCCCTCAGAATTGTAGGTTTTGAATAGATATTTTAAGTACTGTTTGCACTATGGAGTTAGGTCTGTGTTTTGTTGAAGTATGTCCCCACAATTTTTACCCTAGCTTCACTTTGTTCTCTGGAATTTCATAGGGCTAAAGCAAATTGTAACTTGATTTGTTATCCCACAAATATTTCAAGACAGTTTTTCTAATATCATGAATCCTTTTTTGTCAAGACTATCATTCTCAGTTATTAAGTTTCCTGAGGGAAGGGGCTTAGATGCATTGTTTTCTTTGTTGTTTTGTTTTGTTTTCTTTTTAAGACATGGTCTTGCTATATAGCCCACTTTGGTCTCGAACTTGTATTCCTCATGCCTCAGCCTTCTGAGTGCTGGGATTACAGGCATGTACCTGTCTCAAAGAAAATAAAACATTTAGAACTATTTCACAATCTTTAATTTCTAAGGATACTACAGGTGTCATTCATTTGTGCTTTATTTTTTTTCTGACTTTTGCAGTTTTAGTTGTGCATAGATCTGTGGTCCTTCATTCTATACTGTCAATTATTATTCTTGTCTAGGAAATTCTTTCTTGTTTTGACCAATATTCATTCCCATCTTATGACTT